CATGTTTTAATTATATAGTGCTTGAAAAAAAACAACTTATCTTCACTAGGTAATACCTTGTTCTCAATTATTTTTAAATTGTTTTGCCCGATTAGTATTTTAGACACATTTGCTATATGGAGAAATGAATTTAAATCAAAACACAATCAACCACTCTAGTTGTGATCCCACCTGGTCTCCAGGGTTTACAGCATCACTTCTAATGAACTTGGCAGCTGAATAATCTTTGAATATGATTTTAGGAAGGAAAAATTGTTATACTTAGCTTGTGCTAAATAAATTACAAGTAGAATACTTACTTAAGATGATAGGGTGTTTACATGTATTTCAAGTGACCTATCTTAAACAGGATCACAATAGAGACAAGGTACTTAATTTACCACAAAATTAACTAGACAATGCCAGCTAGACTACAGGTCCAGAGCTTTTGGCATCCCTTCTACTTTACAGCATTTAGCTTTCATGAATTGAGAGATAGAAAAGCCACATTTTTAATAGGAACCAAGACAAAGGATATAAGAGTTTGTTTTTAAAAAGTATTATTAAAATAAACCACAATCCTCACTCAAGCTCTGTGGTTTTGGTTTTTAGGTTGGCAGCTGAAGGGGGCAAGGGGATGGACATTGGTATGAGCAGGAGGAGATAGAGATGAAGGAGAGGAAGATTCACCAAATTAACAAGTTTGAGGAAAACAACTGCCCAGATCCAGATTTTAGAAAAACTGGAAAAATGTGCCAAAATTATGAAAGTGGAAGTTTATTTCTGAATCAGTTTTTTGTTGCTTTTTTTAAAGCAGAATTTATAATACTTTTCTTGGAAAAAAAAGTTAAGCAGAAAATATTCTTTTAGTTATCCAGTTATTTTACTTTTAAATGCTCATTTTACTGAAATTGAGGTTTTTTTCTCATGTGACACCTTGAATAGAGTAATTTTTAAGCTGCTGTTTACAATTTATCAAAAAGTTCACTGTTTGTACAACACTTGTGTAAATATGGATTAAAAAAATATACAATTCTACTGCTCATTAAGCATCGTCTCAAAGTCCACAATCCGAAACACACTTTTATCTTCTTAAGTTGCACTGTGGTGCTAGAAATGCAACCTCCAGGTTGTCCTTTGAACAGTTTTACTACTGCTTTTCTTGGAGCTACTCTCTACTTAAGTGAATATTACTAAAAATACAGTATTTAAAATACACCATGGATTATAGTCCTTTTTTGGCATGGATATAGATTTTTTTTTTGCCACCTTTTATATAGTAAGAATTCACAGTCCCCTTCCCATACAACTGAATAATCTTGCAAATACTGTGAGACAAATTTACTTACGTCTTGGCTTTCAAAGAATATGCAGACAAACTAAACTGATAAAGCAATTGTTTCTTAATCTCCTTCATGGCAGAGAATTAGTTTCTCTCAATTCCAAAGTAAATTGAGCATTCTTTGTATTTGATGTTTAAGTACCTGTAGATTTAACAATTCTTCCCACTACAGAAGGAAAAGGATTTAGTACAAGCATTATACAGGAAAGAAGGCTGTACTAGCTGAAGAGATTCGTCTCAGAAAGCAAGCTTTTCAGTATATCATTCAACAGATTGTGTTTGGTGTCATTTATTTTCAGCAAACTTTGAACATCTACAAGCAACTCGAGTCTCTCTGAGATTTTTATACTCCCCTCTTTCAGACTAGAGCTGCTCATTTACTAGTATGGAAATTAGCAGGCATGTCAATAAAGCCTAAATGGGGGAAATTAATAACATTTTCAATAAAATGTCAGTTCTGATTCTTTCCCAATGTTTCGGACCTGTACACACAAAAAAGAGGAAAAAAAACCAAACCATTTTTTAATCAGTTCTGAGCTACCTGGAATAAACATGATTGTTATATCTTTTAAGCCTTAAAATTTGACTATAAACACACATAGAATATTTAATGTTTTAGATATTAGGACTAGAGAAGCCCTTAATGACTAAAAAAATTCACTTCACAGCTTCCTGTGCTTGAAGGGGAAGGAGGGGTTTTCCTAAAAATTTAAAAAAGGAAACCCAAATTTTTTGTTGCATTTCACTAGAGGGCAGGGGATGGGGAATGATGTATCAGGGACCCTCAGTCATCCAGAGACCTGTTTTTAGTCATCAGTAGAGCATAGATTCAATTTCTCTGGTCTCTGCTATTTCCTAATCTCTTCTCTCCCCCTCACAGCTCTTTCCCCTCCTCCTTTCCAGCATTCAGTTTGGCATCTATTCCCATCACATAAGATGAAAAGTAATTATGTAGTCATGTCCCTCCCCAATGAGTACAGGCACTGACTGAACAGACCGGTGTAAGAAGTTCTTCAGTTCTGAATAAATGCTTAACATTGCCAAGTGCTACCTACAAAGCAGCTTGCTGTTTCGTTCATTTACAAATCCTTCCAAAACACTCAATACCAGCACCACTTTCTTTCCCAATAGGAAGAACCTGCCTCTGCTTGGAACAGAGAAAGGTCCATAATTGCATTCAATTTCTTTTCTCACTAGAGAAGTCGGTACCACACACTTGTTGATTATACATAACCATAAAATGAAATAAAGTGTGAAATACCATTGCATCGATATTAAAGCCTCAAGATTATCTGAAATAGAATTTATTTGAATATCAATTTAAAGATTAATAGGAAGCAACTCAAACAGGAAATTATTATGATTAGACATACTAAAATGCATTTGCTATAATAATTAAAATCTCCATTCAAAAGGTCCCCTGAATTCATCAATTAAATTGTCCCAAATAAAAAGTAAATAAAGAAGAGCTCATCCTATTAAGTAACACAGTGCATAGTTACTACATTGGTCACTTGGTTTAATTGAAATTGAGAGTTACTGTGCAAGAGTTTCCATTAAAGAGTTGACCTATGCTGTGTAACATTAAGAAGGTCACTATTGCAGAAGTAAACAGTACCCCCATAAGCTATGAAACTGTCAGCCTCAAGAGTATACCCTATGAGTACAAGAAGAAAAATCTTTTTTGGCAACTAACTGAACATACGTAATTCTGATCCAAGGTTTAAGAACATCTGCAATCTAAACAGATCCAGTCAATGGCAATTCAATGCAAGTGAGGGAGGGAAACAGAAGAAAAATAGTAAATTGAACTTGCAGCATGCAAAACCTATCAACTAACAGTAACAAGAGACCAGAACTCTACAGTCACTGAGTGATGGAGCCACCGAAGCAGTCACTCAAACGTAACCTTGAAAGGGTTAAACCAGAACTTTGTAATTGATAAGAAGGGCAAACACAATTATCATGCATCTCGGGGGGGGGGGGGGGGGGGCGGGACACACCCAAAAAAACTTCAAAAAA